AAATAGGTTGGTCCACATGATCCACATAGACATTGCAAATTTGTTTGGACATATTTCGATACTAAAGATATTGAATTAGTCTTGGGTGATCTAGTAGAAAAAAATAATAGCAATAGGTCGGGCACGATCTACATAGACACTTTGAATCTGTTTGGACATATTTCGATACTACAGACATTATTGCAGTCTTGGTTGATATAGTAGAACAAATCAACTAAACTCCAGGACGATTTGAAGAACCTAGAATATCCGGTGCACATGGCAATTACTCGCATCTATACGATTCGTTTATGATTTCACAACGAAAAATGCTACGTTCATATTGGAAATAAAAAAATTATATGAAATTGTCTCACATTGGACAGACCTCAGGGAATATCCTTGTAAATCGGGTGTGACTAATGGAATTGAGATTATTTCATTGAACCGGTAAAAAATTGAGAGCCAAATGAACAACAAAATTGATGACATCCGGGACAGAAAGGTTACAATGTATTCTACAATTTTTGTGACAGCACATCAGTCCCTTCGCGATTTTCGCGACATCATTTAATGTTTCCGCGATTTTCGCGACTGAAAGTTCAAATCCGCGACAAATCCGCGAAAATCGCGAAATCCGCGAAATTCGCGAAATCCGCGAAATTCGCGAAATCCGCGCCTGTTGTAACAGCCCTGCAGATGACCATGGCAATACAAGAAGTATTGGTATTGGAAGGTAATTGCTATTAGATATTTTGCAAACAGTGACAGATAGCGGACATGAAGAACCAGTGGAGTTGCCGGGCAAAGGTGTTTATCCTAGACAAATGGTAAGTTACAAATTCGCTGTTGTCGTTGTCGTAGGCGCCGTCGTAGTCGCTGTCGTAGTCGCTGTCGTAATCGCCGTCCTAGTCGTAGGCAGTATCGTTAGTATATTTAAAATTAAACATCAACCGCTGAATTATCGCGTATTTCTGTTGTTCATTACATACCAAGTAAAATTCGAGAACGTAATTTCATTTGAATAGCTTGTTCAACCAGGTCTTAAACAATCGTCACGTCGGTCATAGCTTGTTATGATTACCTGAACCATGCATATGGGAAAAGCATTCGACAGTGTTTGGCATGAAAGTCTGATTGCCAAATGGAAAAAGTTTAATTTCCACTCTATATTATGAAATTAGTTCAAAATTATGTAACTTACAGAACTCTGCAGGTAAATTATCTGCCAAATTTGATCAACTACCTGTTAGAGCTGAAGTTCCTCACGGTAGCATTTTTGGGGCCTATATTGCATAACATTTTCACATCGGACCTCCCTTATTTGCCTCAGGGTTTCAACAAATCTTTGTTCGCTGATGACACGGGCTAACACGGGCTTCCGCTAAAGGAAGAAGTCTTCGTGTTATTTGCAGCAGACTGCAGAAAAGTTTAGATATTTTCTCTTCTTATTTACAAAAATGGAAGATTTCTCCCAACGCTTCAAAAACCCAACATTAATAATACCACATAAGCCTAGAGCTTCCTTTTTGAAACCTAGTAGTAGTCACATAATCACTATTTAAGAGATGAACTAGCCTATGGCTAAAAATCTCTATAATAAAGAAAAAAAAGAAAAAAAAAAACATAATCACTATGAACGGAGTTCCAATTGCTTGGTGAAGTCAACACAGCAAAAAAATAATTTTGATATCACGTCAAAGTGGATGCACTACAATCATGTCGAAAATATGGTGTAATATTACTTGCTAAAAAGGACAAAATTATCATTAATACAATGCATGAACTGACATTACGCTGCTTTTACTGCATTTGTTTATTTATGTGGTCATAAAAATTACATGAAATTTTCGACATGATTGTAGTGCATCCACTTTGATGTGATATCAAAATTATTTTTTTGCTGTGAAGTGAAAAATCCTGGATTAGTACTTGACCAAAAATTAACTTTTAAAGATCACAGTGCATTCAAGCCAAATGTAACAAATATATAAAATGTGTGTATCCTCTTATAAACAGGAAATCCAAACTTTGCCTGAAAGATTAACTTCTAATATTTAAACAAGTTTTTTGACCGGCCATGCTTTATGCTGTGCCAATATGGTCTAGTTGTTGCACTACTAGGAAAAAAGCACTTCAAGGATTCAGAACAAAGTTCTGAAGATGATTTTGGAGTTGGCGACGTACATAGAATTTCTAATGTTGAGACTTTAGTACAAATGTCCAACAAAATAATTGATAATTTCAGGCAAAAATCGTTGCAATCCTCCATTGAAACGATTAACTCCCTTTATGCTAAGATTTAATTTTAGTTTTTAGTTTTAAGATGTCAATTGTTATAAAGGGTGTCCACGATGAAATTGCCACACACAAAATTGATTCGCAAAATTCGAGTTTTCATCCGATTGCCATCAAATTTTCAGGGATTGAGAAATAACTATTAAACTTCATTTTACCATTTTACTCGTATTTTATTTACAGTCCATACGCAAATGCCCGCACCTTGGCCTTAACCCCGGCCATAAGATTCTGCACAACCTGTGAATCAACCGTTTTTTGCATGTAAACCCATACTTTCTTCAGTTACCCGACTGTCTTCACTACCTTAGGTCGTTTAAGAAGGTGCTGCTTCATAATCGCCCAGTACTTCTCGATGGGGCGGAGCTCCGGAGTGTTGGGAGGGTTGAACATTTTCGGCACGAAATTGACCTTATTGTCCGCATACCACTTCAGCACGTCCTTGGAGTAGTGGCATGAGGCCAAATCCGGCCAGAAGATTGTTGGGACGTTGTGGGCCTTCAGGAAAGGAAGCAGCCGCTTCTGGAAGCACTCTTTTATGTACACCTGTCCGTTCATCGTGTCCTGGGTCACGAAACGTGCACTCCGCTTCCCGCACGTGCAGATGGCTTGCCAAACCAGGAATTTCTTCGCAAATTTGGACATCTTCTGAGTGCGGACATGCTCCGGAACGCTGAACTTATCCTTGGCCGTGAAAAACAAGTTGCCGGGGATCTGTTTGAAGTCGGCCTTCACATATGTTTCGTCGTCCATGATGCAGCATTCAACTTTCGTCAGCATGTTGAGGTACAACTTCCTGGCACGGGTTTTGGCGGACTTGTTCTGCTTCTCGTCGCGATTAGGGGCCTTTTGTACCTTGAACGTTCGAAGCCCAGCCTTAGTTTTGGCCTTCTGGACAAAACTTCGGCTTAGGTGCAGCTTCTTAGCCACATCCCTAACGGAGGCGTTCGGATTTCGGTTGAAGGCCCCAACTACGCGGTTGTGATTTTTGGTGTTGTACGGAATACTTTTTCCTTCACTTCTGGGCTTCCGATCGGTGGTCAACCGTTCCTCGAACCGCTTAATCACTCGCGACACCGTGGAATTCGCGATTCCCAACGTTTTAGCGATGGAACGATGCGAGAGATCCTTGTTCTCGTGATGAATGCGCAAGATTTTATCACGCACGAGCTGTTCTTTCGACTCCATTTCCGCGAGTTTTGATCACAGGACTTTAAAACTTGCAGGATGTAAATAATGCACTATGAACTAAATCCACCCAAATTTTCATTAAATTATACCCAACGGTTAAAAAGTTAGAGCAATTTCATAGTGTGGCAATTTCATCGTGGACATCCTTTACTGACATGCATGTATAGAAAATATGTTTTAAATACTGAATTGCCAAGGCAGGAATATTGTAAAAACACTTAGATATCATAACAATTAAGGCTGGTAAGTTACTGTAGTAGCTGGAGCACCTAGGTTAAAATTATATGTAATTTATTTTGAATTTGGAACAAATAAAGCGTTAAATAAAAAGATTTGAATCCTCTGAAACTATCGTAATAATAAGGACCTAAAAATGGTTTCATAAACGCGTTTCAGATCAAAAAAAAAAACAGCATCAACGTATCCTAACGCTCTATGCTCTCTTTTCATGTTATTAGGAACTATTTAAGACACCAGACACCAAAGAGATTGTAGGATAAATAAACAATATTCTAAAAAAAGTATAGAAAAAGCTAACTAAATACGAAAATTTCAATACAATAGGATAATCATGCCAAGATAAACTCGTATCACTCACAATTCAACTAGTTTGGCAAGACGTCTCAATTGAAATTATTGCTTTCAATTTGTTAGTTAAAGCACACTGGAGTGCCCTTGATCTGGAAAGGAAACAGCTCTGCAAAAATTCCCCACATAAACATTTACGAATAAAACAAAAAAACACGCGCCCCCGAATCTCGCTTCTGTCCCGCATAACTGTCCACAGTAAGCAGCTTCGTAGCACGCAAGTCTTTTGTGTAATGTGCAGCATAAGTGGGCATTGGTGGGTTATTCGAGAGACATCACGCCGTGGCGGGTGGTAAAGTGAAACGGAAAACCATAATCATAAAAAAGCAAAAGCGAGAGAGAGAGCGACACGCCACTCAACCAACAGACAACGGACCGAGCATAACAGAGCGAAGAAAAAAATCATGCTCTGAACACCCCCTTCATTTGAAACATTAGACGAAGATTACTCACTCGTTCGCGTGCGCCCGCGTTTGAGGGAAACCCTCTCGGTTTGTTTTTTATTTGTCCGCGTGGACGATGATGATGATGACAATGATGATGATAGTTGTGATGATTATAGTAACTGTTATACCGAGGGTAGCAGCATAAACATGCACGTCAACTGGTGAAAAGGGGTGCAGCACTGTGGTGTGGTGGGTGGTGATGGGTGATTTCGGTGCTGACGATGATGACGAATTTTCCTCCATCTCTGTGTAATTTATGCTACCAATGAGTGCGCGCCGTCGGAACGTATTTTTCAGTTTGATGATGGTGGAATTGCTGAACCATTTTAACTCAATAGAGAGTGAGAGAGTGAGAAAAGGCCGCGTTTTGGAGAGGGAGTCCCACATAGAGGATGGTAGTTTATCTTTTATTTTTCTCGAAATACTTTTACAAGAAGCAAACATTTCATCAAATTCGGTTCAATTGCGGGTTCAGTTTGTCGATAGACGATTGCGAGGTGAACAGTGTTTAAGAGCTGCGGTGCTTTGTTTTCAGTTTTCGCGCGAGATGAATTGATGCTTTTCAATTAAAGCGACGGCGTGGTCTGTGCTGGTAATAATAATAATGATGTGTCGGGGTGAATTGAAGAATTAGTTTGTTGTTGAAATATAGAGTCATGGAAAAATGTAAAGGCTAACATTAGTGAACTGAATACGTTTAGTTTACACACCGTCGGATACTGCAATAAGGAATCTGATAATCAAGATTGACCGGGTTTTATTATCAATTGAGGTGAGACTTTATTGACTCTTTATATTTCAGTTCCATGTTTGTTACGCATTTCTAGCGATTAAGTACGGCTCGCTTTAAGTGCGGAGGGGGGTTTACAAATGTGTGACAAGGAATGCATTAGGTATAAGAAAAACTTGTTGAAAGGAAAGAACGGGAGCGGTAATTTTTCATAAGATGACATTCTTAATGCATGCTTCTTTATTTTATATGAATTTATTTTGTATGATTATAGGGTTGAGTTTGAATATTTTTATTTTTTATTATTGCGATACATTTTATTTTACACTTAAACTTTTCTTAGACTAAGACTTAGACTTAGACCTTATGAATCCCCAAAAACTATATTTATTATGACTATTAAAGAGTGTATTCAAAGATCAGTGTTTCCTCCAAGTATAAGTGATTTACATATTCTACAATTACATTTCATCGATTTAAAAAGGGGAAAATGTAATTGTTGTAATTTTTCGTTCATTATCCCAAACATCGCTCCCTTGCTTTAAAAATTGAGAAACAAAATGTATGCATGTTACACAATTTCAAACCAAATGCCCACTATAACAAAGATTAATTCAAGCGTAATTTGATGATGTTCTGTAATTCGTTCGAGTTATGAAATATGTACATGATTGTTTCCATTGTTAATTGACAAATGAGTAATTTAAAGGCATGGTAGTAGTGTAAGCGTACTTATCTTTGAACTAGCACTAGGTCGAATATACCATTTTTTAAAAAAGGCTGAACATAAATTTATCGATAAATTTATATCCAAATTTACGTAGGTATTTTGGATAATCTGATATGGGATTGAAAAACTTTTTAGCGGAAAACGTTTAAACACGAAGTTTTGGTGTTTTTTAAATGTATGGGATGGTCTAGTGCCACTAGAGGTCGGAAATTAGTAAATCTAGTGGTCACAATCATAAGGGCCTCACTGCGATGATCGATTCTCTTCATCGATTTTCTCTTCGCATATCCACAGTTCATTGAACCAATTTTCCGAAATTATTACAACACAGTGTAGTGAAAGCTTCCAAATTCTACATCATATGTGCCGAGAAATGTGAATCCAGACGAGATATTATCAGAAGAGAAAATCTATGAAGAGAATCGAGCATCGCAGTTAGACCCTTATGAATCTGAACGCTACAAATATACATTCATAACTATCGGCATCTCTGTCCATCGTTCCAACAAGTCATGGTTGATTTAAATCTATTAGTCATGGTCACTGACGGCGTACGGTTTACATAGTGTGTGGAGTTTGACGTTTGAACGTTTGTGTATTATCGGTAAAGTTGAAAACCGGAATGACCCACTAGCGACAATCGATTTTCCTCTCATTCTTTACGTTGAACATAGTTTCGGAAGTAGTGCGCTATATAGCGCATCATTGTGCGACTACAGCGCACTTATCCGACAATATAGTACGCTCACACACGTCATCATCATGCGTCTCACACTTAAGGTTCAATTTACTTTGATGCTTTTTGGACAATTTCAAAAGCAGTTTTTTCCGACGCATTATTTCAGATTGCAAATAGCTCGCACTATTTGATTCCTTTTGATATTTTACACAAAATGACGCGAGCTTTTTGCAATCTAAAATAATGCGTCGAAAAAAACTGCTTTTGAATTTTTAAAAAATGCATCAAAGTAAATTGAACCTTAATGGTGCACTTATTGTGGAATACATTCACTATTGGTTCAAATTGTGACACACTTGGAGTCTATGTGCCTCACATGGTGATATAAATAGCATTGTACATCATAGTTCAAGTTCTACAATATTCCACTTTATCGACTTAGACTTTACCGACTCCAAAATTGAATCGACAAATATATAAACAAAGCTGCCAGAGGGCAGAGCTTACACATGCCTTTTTAATTGGTATGAGATTTGGGAATTTATCCTGGACTGTTGGGGTGTGCTGCTGCCGTTGTCTTCGTTCAATCTCACTGGGCCACGGTTGTTCTCATTAGGCTGATTGATAAGGATGAAGTCACAACTCATGTTTTCGATGTTTACCTTGCAGAACAAGCAATTCACATCGCATTGAAATACAAACCACTTCCAATCCATCTGTTTTGAACAGTAGTAGTAGAACATTTTAAAGTTTCAAACACTAGAAATCAACGTGTAGAACACATTGAACCATGGTGAAATACACTTAAAATAAATGTGATAGTGAATTTGAAAAATCAAGTGTTCAAACACTTCCATCACTAAACTTTTTTGAGTGTAAGGAATTCTTATTCCCGGGTGGTTTTCTCGTCCGTATTATTTTTTTTCGGACACTTGGACGCCGTTAGTTCACTGGAAATGATAGCATACCCGGTCAGCATTCTCTCTGCCGGAGCTCAAGCAAGTTGGAATCCGAATAAAGGAATACGGGCTACAAACCACCCGGGAATAAGACAACCCGACTGTATGTTTAACGTACAGAACGAGAGTAAAATCTGTTGTAGCTAGAGACCATGCTTTTACTACGTAAGATTTTTCTACGAATTTTTCTATCCCTGCTAGGGCTGGCAAATGTCATTTTCAATGAACTGTTTTCTGTCACAATCATCGGATGAGAAAACAATGATAGATTATTTTTTTTACTTTATCATAGAGATTTTTAGCCAAAGACTAGTTCATCTCTAAACAATGATAGAGATTATCTTCCAAATTTCATCGATTTTTTTGTCATGAGAAAACGTGACAGCAATTACTAGCTCATTTATTGATATTATTGTTATATGCACCGTGACAATCTTAAGAACATATTCACTCAACAGGTTACATTCTGTTGCTTGCCAAAATTCATCTAAATTAGGTAGAACTGTAAATTACTCTCATAAGCGCATGAACATTGGAAAATGACAAGAACGCTAATGATAGGTATTTTCGTCTCATGATAGTGAGAGAACATGTTTTCTCATTGTCTCATAACGGCCGTGATATTTACCAGCTCTGGTAGTGAATGGTTGTATTAGCATGCAAATACAACATCACACGCACCGAGAAATGTTAATCCAGCCGAGTTATAAGCAAAAGAGATAATCGATGAAGAGAATCGATCATCATTAACTGCGAAGCCCTTTTGATTTTGAGCGCTAGAAATATACATTCATAACTCAAGCTGAACATTGCATTAGGTCCTAAGTAACATTGACAGATTCTCTTCGTCAACTTTCTCTTTGTATCCCCACGGCCATGTAAAGACATTCCCAGGAATTTTCCACTGGCTATTTAATCAAAAGTAAGTTAGTTGTACCCAACAGTAGGTAAATATGATTATATTCAACGTTGGGTTCCCACACTTTACTACCCTTGTTGGGTGGTTTTGCTCCTCCGTTTTTGACAACATTAGAAGGAGAAAAGGAGACAAACTATTCAAAAGTAAGTAAAAGTGAACTTGCCGTTGGGTACTTTTTTCTTACCGTGTTGGAGTGACAAGTTTACGTACGTATTTTGGATAATCGTTTATCGGAAATCGTTTAAACACAAAGTTTTGGTGTTTTTTTATTTGTATGAGATGGTCTAGTGTTTAGTTGTCGAAAATTAGTACATTTCAAGCTGAACATTGCATTAGGTCCTGCACGGTAAGAAAAAAGTACCCAACGGCCAGTTCACTTTTACCTTCTTTTGACTAGGTTGTCTCCTCTTCTCTTTCTAATGTTGTCAAAAATGGAGGAGCAAAACCACCCAACAGGGGTAGTAAAGTGTGGTAACCCAACGTTGAGTATAATCATATTTACCTACTTTTGGGTACAACTAACTTACTATTGGGTATAAAGCGAGTGGAAAATTCCATACGAATTGCACACAAGTAAATGAAAACTACTTTGGTCCGCTATACCTACTTTTGGGTTCCTGAACTATACACGGTAAGAAAAAAGTACCCAACGGCCAGTTCACTTTTACCTACTTTTGACTAGTTTGTCTCAATTTTCTCCTTCTAATGTTGTCAAAAAAGAAGGAGCAAAACCCAGTCCGCATCGTGCTCTCTTGCCGTGCGGATCTATTTGCTTTTTGCTGAAGGAAGTGTTACTACTACCTAAAGCTACAACAAAGTTAAACAGCACTTTTCAGTGCTCAACCTGTAAAAAATTTTCTACCTTGTTCAACTCTTATTCCTCTTCGATCCTTGTTTGGACCCTACCCGAGGTAATCCTTCTTGGATATCGATTTGGAAAATTCCTCTTCGATCCTTCAGATTCTTATAGTAATCTGCTTGGAAGTCGATTTGGATAAAAATTTACTGCCGCCATGGCGCCTAAACGCAAAAGAAAGGGGCAAACTCTTGACCCCCCTTCTGATGAAATTAATTTGAGTAATCAATTTGATTTGCTCACGGATGATGAGAATGATCTATCATCCAAGAAAAATTCTAGTAAACTTTCCCGGCTTAATGCCAAGAAGGAAAAGATTCCCCCTATTGTGATAACCACTTCCGATTTCCATGCTTTTCGCATGGAAGTTTTGAATTTCGTGAAAGTTAAGTTTTCACTACAAATTGGACGTCGGGGTGAATGCCGTGTATTGGCTGAAACCTTGGACGGATTTAAATGTCTTCTCAAGTATCTTACTGAGAAGAAGCACACATTTTTTACTTACGACACCAAAACTGAACGTGTGTTCAAGGTTGTCATGAAAGGACTGCCCAGTGGTGAATCCCTGGATCAGATCAAAGATGAACTGGCAAAATTACTTGGAGTTGTGCCACTCCAAGTAATCAAAATGAAAATGAAATCCCGTCCTGGCGATTCGCGCAACGGGATTTCTAATGATTTTTATTTAGTTCACTTCAAGTCTAGTGAACTAAACAACCTTAAGGCCTTAGAAAAAGCTAGCCTTATGCTCCATGTCCGAGTGAAGTGGGAACACTTCAGGAAGACTGGAGGAAATTTCCAAAACCTCACCCAGTGCCGTAAGTGCCAGGGAACTAAAAATTGCTACATGCCAGCTAAATGCATGAATTGTGGTGATTCCTCTCACGCAAAGGACGACT